TCTAATTCGAGAATTGGTTAAGGGTACACCTGGACGACCGAAAAATAGACTAGTTTATAGTTTAGTATTATATAGGATGTTACAACGTTGTTTTTCAATAGTCCTCCATGAAATTTACAGAATTAGTTGATATAAGTACACTCTTCAATAGGCTAAGAAATTTACGTTTAAATAGAACGTACTTTCATAAAATAAAAAATAGGTCTACATTCAGAAATATTAAATATAACTCTATTCTGGTCGTCGAGATATATGCAGCCCCCTAATTAACCGCAGTACACAAACAATTTCATTTAATTAAAACGAGCTATCCAAAAATAAAGGTGTTTGATTCACAACTATTCGCATCTTGGTCGACACATCGAAAACTTCCATTCGTGCATATTGTTTTAATGCAACGGAAGCTCAGCAAATATTCAATTTCACTTCGACGTGTTTAAAAAGTTCCGCGAAAGTTCGTCGATGTCCCAGATTCCGGTTCAATTTACACGATGAACAACATTGTTTATTCTGTTTTTTTTTTTTCATCCGTCCCGCCGTCGAGTTTACGTAATCACGGACGATCGATTGTCGAAGTACGCTGGAAGGGTAATATTCGGGCGAGTGATCGAATGGAAATTAGAGAGAGTGTAGTGACCTAGTTTTCTTTTTTTCTCTTTCCGTTACGTAAGTGCACGAGCACCAATGACGGAAAAATGCCGACTTTATCACAGACCGACGGGGGAATATACAGACCCCCTGCCGTCTTCTGCAACTTTGACAGAAGCAGAAGGATCTTTATTTAGGAACACGCTTGGAAAGCTCGTCCGCCGAGCGTTCTTCAGGGACTCGAAAAATGGGGACAACCTTTTAAATCAATCGTCGCCAGTGGTGGTAGCAGTGTGTACCGCTGGGTACCAGCTCGTGATTTAAAATTTGTACTCGCGAGCAGCTTTGAATAGATGTTCCACACGCTTCTCTATCCAGGAGCTGGCTTTCAGCCGGACGGACGCACTCGCCAGTTTTATTATTTATTACGAATGAATTATTTATCGTGGTCGGGGGTACCAGACGACCACACACTCTCTGTCTCTCAGACCATCTTGCTTCTCGAATCGTGCGCGTGAGCTAGCGAGCTATAAATTTCCCAGCAGATAAACTCGCTACGCTTCCGCGAACCATTCGGCCTTGTCCACTGGCCGACATTTGTAATTAACTAGCGAGACATCTTTAATTAAACAGGCCTCTCTAACGGACGGATAACAAAACGAGATTCGGTGCATCTACACCGGGGAACACGTGAATTAACATGAAATTTATAGGATACTTGACTATTTGTATCTCACTGTGACGTATTCTCGGGACATTTGATTATGAAAATTTAATACGTAGGTTTTAGAATGAAAGTACACGAAAGGAAGTCTAAACATAAACCAATTTTAAGTAGAATATAAAAAGGAAGTTAAGTGGTGGCTGGCGCGTTGAGTGCCACAGTGAAAAAGGCCGTACGTAGTCAGACATATTTTATTTCGTTTTCTAAGTCATAAAGCTTCCAAATATATGCGTTTTGTTAATAGAGGCTAGTTTTGTTTTGAATTATACGATGGTATTAATTTAACAGAAAAAGTTTGCAACGATGTTTAATTAATACTACATTTAATCATCGATGAGTGTTCGAAGACTACTCGTGAGTGTTCAGACGTCATCCCCACCACTGGGGCTGTCTTCCGTGGAACCAGTGAAGTGTCCAGGTGTGGGGATGACCTTCGAACACTCACGAATGACTTACTGTATTAAAACATATTTAAAAAAAATTTCTTCTTTTCACGAACAATGTGTTTACTCGCGATAAGTAAGGAACTAGTAGTCGCAGTAACACCTTCTTGTCATTTAAAGAAGTTTCTGTAGTAGATCGATGAAATTCGGGTGTTAAATACAAATAATAGTCTTAGTAAGCGAATAATCCTTTTGGTATAGCGTATCCCAAGACGGTTGATCCCTTTCGTCAAACTTTCGGAAGGATCGGTAACCTAGTTCCACCTCGTTAGTGGATAGCATACAGATGCTACCTGTTCCTAACAAAAAAAAAAAGGAAAAAAGCAGATCGCCCACTGGAGATTTCCTTGTTTCGATGAGAAGGGAAGTCTCCCCATTACGTCCAGACACGGTGGGAAAGGTTCCTTCATAAAGCTGGATGCTTTTTACTTCCTCGCTTCCACCCTCGATCTTCCTCCTCTGTCCTTCCCGTTATTAACTCCCTTGTGCTTTGTTCCCCCCCACTCCTTCCTCTATGTCGACAGAACTCGTAACTCCGTGGCCGTCGCATTCAGAGGTCCGTGTCTTCGGACAGGGATAAGGAGTTCCGGCCACATGTTACGGTCGAACTTACACGAAACGTCGAAGAAATGAGCGATCGTCGGCTGGTAACTAGGGCAATTACGGGGGTGGTGTTCTTGGAGCCGAGCTAAGCGCATTCGATTAGAATTCGATCAACCTTCGGACTTTTACCGGTGTAAACTCGTACGGTATTGGTAGAAAATTATTGTTACTTTTTAATAGATAACACCAAGAGCAAACGAATTTCGAGTGGAATCTTGAATGACCTGTCCAATTGAAACGAAATCCTGCAGATTAAATTTAATTACTTTACCGTAGGCTCCCGTGCATTTCCATATACATGTTACATCTCACAATTATAAGATATATGCATACAAAAGTTGAATAACATTTTTTATCAATTCTCAGAGATTTATCTAATACATATATGTGTTCCTAGTGATAATAAGTTGAAACAGAATGCACTGAACAGACGTGTCAGCCAAGTCCTATACAATTGCACTCGTATCCAATAGATTTTCAGATTTGATTTTCTCGAAAATGTCTTGAAGAGGATTCTACGAGAGTATTTCTGAATGGATTCTACGATTGTGTACCCTCGAAACACACGTATTTATCAAGGTACTCTCATAAAACCCACATCAAGTCGTATTAAATGTAGCGAAAATTGAAACTTGTATTATTAAAAATATGCTGAATATTTTTAAGTCAATCTGAGCTTGTTGGAAGCTATGAATCTTCATCTTTAAAATAAGCGTAGTCTTATCTCGATAGGGCTTTCCGTTCCGGAGATATCGTCGTTTAAAGGAAAGCATAATTTTTAATGGTCTCAGTATCTCCGTCTCGCTCGCACTTCATCAATGACCTACCCCACACGTGCTCTGGTCAATGGGAGACGCTGAGTCAGCGGTTTTCTTTACTATTACTATTACCGTACGCATTTCCTGGAATTCAATTGAGTCAATGGAATTCCCGGGTGTCTACGCGTCGCCTCTCATACGTTATACTTCAAAGCGTTGTATCTTCTAAACTAATCGAGATATCGAAGTGCAACAAAATTCATTGTAAAGCACAGACTCTTCCCTACCATCGACGTGCATTGGTATTTAAAAAACTCGTATTTATTCACAACATAATTTTTATTTAAATTTTCGCATTACATTTGTAGAAGCTGAAAAAGGTCTAATCGTTCATAATTAATTCTATAACATCAGTACAAAATTCACTTTCTTATATTAAAATCGAAGTAGAAGGATATTGCAGTTCCGTGCTGTTTTTCCACCAAAGCGAATCCATTTCCTATGTGTCTGGGCGCTTTTCACGTGTGTACCAAATTGAAAATAAGTGTAGCCTTGTCACGGTGAACGGAGGAGGATTTGCACGTCGACAGAGTCTCGTCCCCCGTTTGAAGGTGGGGGAACTGGCGTTCGTGGCTGCAGTATTACTGGAATTTCCGTTGTCGAGTCCACTCCTACAGTAATTTTCATTACGCCGTCTGTTATTGCTATAGTTTCCGTCGGTCGGGAACGCTGATGTTACAATTTCGGTACTCGAGACACTTCGTAACTATGTTTTCATTATTACATTTCCCACCCCCATTCGCGGAGACCATTGTAATTAGACTTTCCCTTCAATGCGGCCCGATAGCACTCCATGCGTGTGGCACGAATAATTCCGCTAACAGCTTTATTTTCGTTTCGAATAATACAGGGGAGAGTTACTCCTGGGGCCAGAAAGTGGTGTGTGCATTAAACATTTAACAAGTTGAGAGCCCGCGGAAAAGCTTCCTCCACGGACTCTGCTGGGAGATTAAAGTCAATTTTACACTGGAACTACAATAATTTGTACAATACATGAACTATATATACATAGTGTATCGTGAATAGGATTATGTATAAGACACTGGAATGAGAGGAAACCAAATCATCCATATACACAGTGTTCCGAAAAAATTTGGGTGCTCGAGGATTCTAGGGAACTGGTAAGGGAAGGACCTCAGTCATCCAAGGGGTTTTGTAAGGTTTGCTGATTCCTAATAATATGTGTGGAATATTAGATGTGGACATACGATCATTTCAAAGATAAAAATAATTAAAAGTTGCGTATCTTTAAGATGTACTATGAATGTAAGTCAAACTTATAGAAGTATAAGTAGTACTCAAATAGTTTTCTAGTTACACTACGCAGTGTATTCATAATACATTTCACAGGTCCGTAACGTTAATAGTTTGTGTCTCAAAAATTTTCTAGTGTCTCCACCTAATGTTTCGAAATCAATATACAATCATCTTACAAAACCGGGTTAAAATCGAAGTCAGACAGTTTAGGTCCTTCCATTGTCAATGTCGCCGTTAACACTAAAACTACCGAAGATAACGTACAGCGATTTCTATCAGATAAATAAACATAAGAAATTTGTGAAAATATAGAAATTTATAAATCAATTAATTTCTTCAGTTTCGTAGTGGAATAAAAGTTGCAAAAGATATTAAAAAATACATTGCTATGACATTTCAATGATGATTGTAAAAATGTACTGACCAGTCATTTTGACTGTTTCGGTAGTTCTAGTGTTAAAGACACCCTCAGGATCTTCCAGAGCATCGATCCCAAGCCGACGCACACAAACATGTACGAACAGACACACGCGGTATCTATCTAACAGATAATTCTGTTTATTACAGATAAACTCCGGATGGTCACTCGGGCCCGAGCTTTGCGACATGTGGACCAGCAGTGACGTTCTCTGCTGCACTGCCTCGATATTGCATCTGGTGGCTATCGCGGTCGACAGATATTGGGCAGTCACCGATCTCAATTATATACAGGTTAATTAACACCGGTAGCGGTCGTTCGATCGGTCAGTGGATAGGTTCCAGTTGCCCTTAACGAGTGACGAACTTACGTCACGATCGCGTGGTACACATCTCGTACGGGCGACAGTATCCCTCCTCCACCTCTGGAAGGAGGATTAGGACACGCCGCGGAAACGCTCGGATATTGATCCTGGAATGCAATCCGATAATCGGGGCCCTCCCCTTGCTCTGTGTCCCGTTGCTGGAGCCCCTTAACGCGCTCGGAATCGGAGATCATTAAAGTGGGAGGGATGCAATTAGCGGGTCCATTGCGTGTACAACGCCCGTAGCTGTGTGTTTCCCCCTTTTTACTTGGCCGGTGATTACGTTGAATTGCGCGAAAAACAACGTGCCGGAATGTACATTCCTTTCTACTCTGTGTAACGGCGATTCGTAGCAGCTGGAGAAGTGTTTAATTATTGGAAGTACGTACAGTAGTTTGCATTCATTCGGTCGGGGTTAATTATTATTATTGTGCAGCTTCGTTCGTAGTCGTTTACATTTGTCTACTATCGAACGTTCTTGGAGTTCGCACGATTAAAATTTTACGATAGAAGCTTAACATTGCAAACATGCTGGATTATTTAAATACCTTTACAAAATTTTGACATAAGATTAATTTCACAGTATAATTTAAAACAAGATAAGCAATCTCTATTAATAAAACGCATATATTTTTGAAAATTTATGATTTAAAAACGAAAGAAAGTGTGTCTGACTACGTACTGCCTTTTCCACTGTGACAGTCAACGTGTTAATAGAATTGGTCCCTGGTTTAACCAGTTCGATGGATCATTTTGGTACCTTGTAAGGTGGTTACACCAGTAAATGAACATTGAAATGATTAAAATGAGCAAATCGTTAAATATTCTGATGTAAATAAAACGATTAAAGTTTGTTGAATTCCTAGTTTTATATTCAAACAATTTTCGCGCAATTCGTTCGAAATTTTCATTCACCGGTGAAGTTTGTATTTCTCCTTTTTAGTTTAATCGATTGCATTGTTTCAATTTTTCAAATTAAAATCTGTACGTTACAAAATGGTATAGACAAAAAATCTAATTTTCGTGCGTCAAATATTTATTAGTAGAGTGCGGATTTTATGCATTTATGGTCCACAGGGTTCTGTGAAATACAATGAAGGACGAAACTTTCATCGGATTCAATGAGTTTTCCATTTCTGTCTGAACCCAATAAGATACTTAAGAGAAAAAATAAATTTCTACATTTTCGCCTATCTTTATAAATCACTTTAGAAAATGTTATTTTGCATAATAATTCGCAGTCTATTTATTAGTGTTATTATAATTTAAAGTTCGACTTTTCAAGTTCTACTGCCGATCGTCGAGAAATATTCGCGATCTCGTCACTAAAGTGACAAGATAGACGTCAACTGTAGCAGACAAATGCAACTAACGTGTTAACGTCAGGCACGATTATCGAAATTCATCTGTGCGCCGATTTCTATCTACCAATCAATCCCGATATATCGCATAAATGACATTCGATGGTTAATCGAACCTAAATCCTACGATATCCCCTGGTACCCGCATGTTCGAGATAGCTTCAACCCACGGATTCGCGAGAACTGCGAATCACGATGATATCTTCGTCTAGTTTCGCGAGTGGGAGATAGCTGGCCATTCCGAACAACCGGTTATATTGAAATAGTTCCACCAAGGGAGCAGAAAACACATCGAGTTAGATCGATCATCCGTGAATCTGAACATCCTCCCATGGCCTTTCAGCACCGGCGTAGAATTGGATTCTTCTTCGTCCCGAGAGTTTCAATAAACCGCGCACTGGAATCGAATATCGCAGCGAAACTTCGAATTACTCGGATATTCGTGTTATTCCGTTAATTAAATATCCCTGACTGTGCACAACGATCGATTCTGAGCGTTCCCTCGAGCGGGTGGGAATGATATAAAAATTTCTGAAATAAAGGAAGAAGGTCCTCCTCCGCCTTGTGGAATCGAGTACCATCAGGACGATTCACGAGCGTTCGCGACAAGGGGGCTGAAGGAATTTCTTTACTTCCAGGCGAGGAATCCGAGAAGGATCGGTATCCTGATCGTCACCGTCTGGGTGGTGTCCTTAGGAATCTCTCTGGCGCCCCAACTCGGATGGAAAGATCCTGATTATTTGGACCGTATTGCGGATGGAACGTGTCTGGTGTCGCAGGATCCTGCATACCAGGTGGGTGGTGCGATTCTGTGATATCTACCGGATTTGAATTCACTGGAAACCGTGATTTAATCGGTCATCCGTGTGAATCGTCACGTGTATGGAATAAGAGTGTTCCGTTTTAATGAACACATCCAAGAAAAATGAAAAAATACTTTGCAGATCTTCGCCACCTGTGCGACTTTCTACGTACCCCTGCTCGTTATTCTATTTCTGTACTGGAGGATATTTCAAGCAGCACGGAAACGAATCCGAAAGAGACCTGGGACTATCGTGCAGCCGCCACGTGAAAGAAGAGGCATCCTCAGACTCGTCACAAGAAGGTTGCGCAACTATATACAGTACTACCTACACGTTACAAGACTCGTTAGCGTCGCCCTTTAAACTTGTTACCTTCTTTCGCTCGTAATTTCCATGAAAACGATTCTATCCACACTAATTGCATGTTACCTTCGAGTTAGTATGTACAGTACCGGCCAAAAGTATGGGACCAGAGTTCAGGATTGATGGAATAATAACAGAATACAGTAAAGCATCGATAAATGTTCGAAGACTCCTTGGCACTGAATGTGCTGACGTTATCCCCTCCACTGGACGCTAGATTAATTCCATGGGACCCCCAGCTGATGGGAATGACGTCTGAACAGTCAGTGCTGAGAAGCCTTCGAACACTCATAGATGATTTACTGTACAGTAAGTTCTCGATAAATTTTCCGAAAATACAAAAATAAGGTACAGAGGCTCGACCTGAAATTTATTAACAACGAAAATAGTGTCCCTGTAAAATAATTGTTTGAAAGCAGCTCCGAAGCATTAATCGAAGATTTACTGTATTCTGTCACGATATAATAACAGTTTTGGAATCAGTACAGGTACAAATCATTTGCAATAAGTACCCGAAGAGATAAATCGATGTCTAAAATTCTAAATTTCCATAAACATCCGCACTAATAACAAATCGATCTGATCTAAATCGAACCTTCAAATGAAACTTATTCCAGGCCAAGGGAGGAGTCCACTGCGTTCACCATAACAAGATCGACGCCCGATCACTCGTCGATCTCCCCAGAGAAATCCTCGTCGTACAACGGGGCGAACACGACGCAGTCGACGACCGTGACGCCGTCCACGGTTTCCACGACGACGACCGCCACGACCACAACGACGGTGACGAATCCGTCGAGCAGTCACTCGACGTCATCCAGCAAGAGGACACGCGAGACGATGGAGTCGAAGCGCGAGAGAAAAGCTGCGAAGACCCTCGCGATAATAACAGGCGCGTTCGTCGCCTGTTGGCTGCCATTCTTCTCGGTAGCGTTGCTTCGCGCCACGTGCAATGTCTGCGAGCCGCCAGAGCTGATAGCCAGCGTGTTTCTCTGGCTGGGATACTTCAACAGCACCCTGAATCCGGTGATCTACACGATCTTCTCGCCTGAGTTCAGGCAAGCGTTCAAGAGGATGCTTTGCGGTGGCACCAGGATAATTCGCTGACAGTGGATTTAAAAATCGTTTCGTGAGAAAGAACGTTTGTGTGTGTGAGCGAAAGAGTGAGTGAATGCGTTGGTCCTGTGTACATACGGTTATATACTACTACTTCCTTTCCTTCGGATAGCGTTCAACTACCACGTCTCACGTACTTAGGCATGCCTTAGATGGTCCGTAGACATTTTTCCTTGAAAGTTTCCCCGCTGGAGCGACCATCAGGCTCACACGGCGACCCCTCGATGAGAACCACCAGTTGGAAAGTCTACGTATAGGCGACATACTTTCGTGAAAGAGGTGTCCTTCAGTGGCGGATCCAGAGGGGGGGATTCTTCGTAAAAGTAATAAAATATAAAAATATTATGTCACTTGTAAAAGATGGTTCGAAAAAATGTACCTGTGTACTTTTACACATTCCCCTCTTACAAGAAATACTTCTGGATTCGATACCCTAAGAAAGGCTCCTGGGTTCGTACCCCCTTAGAGAGGTTCCTGGATCCGCCACTGTTGTCCTTAGAATTTCCAGGTGATCGTCAAGCTCGTAGGAGAACCGATTTTTCATTACTCGACTGTGGTCTTGAGGGCGGACCTGATGTTGCTCCGTGGCGATTGTTCCTAAGATAGAACTCCTCTACCATACGAAAGTTCTCTTTGACATAGATGCATTCTTCTGACTCGTCTACGATAATGTTTACCACTGGATGTACATCGATGAGTGATCCACTTTGTTTTATGGGAGGTACTGATGTTTTTATCGAGGAAAATCAAGAGTACAGTAAATCGTCGATAAGTGATCGAAGGATTCTCGGCATTGAGTGTTCAGACGTCATCCCCACCACTGGGCACTTGACTGGTTCGACAGAGGATCATCATCAGTGCTCGGGATGACGTCCGAACACTCAGTACTCAGGAATTTGTGAATACTCATCGATGATTTACTGTATATCGTCACGCTAGTTCTTAATTGTTCTATCTCTAACAATTTCTATTCAAATTAAATAATCGAACACACTATAAAATCACCTACTGAATATAATTTTTAATTGTTATTAGTCTTTGGAAATACAGCTACTAAGAGAAAGAAACTTTCAAAGTTTCGGAACTTAAAGAATATGTATTGTTTTCTAGGTTGAATTTTCTTTAAATAATCGTGAATTTGTGTTCTTTGAATCAATAAGATTAACATGGATTGACTAACTAAATTCTTCTGAAAAATGGAGTTAGACCAGTTACGAACTCGGTCGATATTAATGAAATTCAATTGTTCGCCGAACGGAGTATACCCGGAATTTAATGTACGTTATGATTTTATTGGGAAACATTGTGGATCACTGATCGGCACATGGACACGTTCAGTTACAAATGGAGGAGCGAACGCTGGATGTTTCGAGTGAATGGATCGTGACGAGAATGTGATTGGTCTTACACGACTGGTCCATCCTCTTGAAACCAGATCGACATAAATACGTGTACACGCGGAACTATGTACAGAGTACGTAAAATAGATTCATTTTCTCCATTGTTGTTCACGAGAACCGCTGCGATTTTCGTTCGAGGATCAATAATAGAGTTAGAAGGTCGGCGATGATAGGGTCGATTTCTCCTCGTCGGAAGTAGCTCCCATCGATCCCACGCGAGTCTTGGCGACGTTTTGTTCCCTTACCACAGAAGAATCGTTTCATTGTAAATATAGTGTATCATTTAATATAGTAAAAACAGCTCAGAATTCATGAAATTGTCACAATTTCATTGGTCATTGATCATTTCGATCTGTTATTAGCTGAAAGAAAGGACAGGGGTATGTTTGATTTGATTTCGACTTCAAAGAATCTACGTTTCTGGATCTAAAAGACCATGGTGGACTCTTTTGAAACGTGAATTCTTTGAACATTAGGCACAATCATCTCTGGGACGTAAGTTAAATACGACTGTATTTAATATAATATTTCGTGAAAATATTGTTAAAATAAATACGGAACATACTAGTGAATCTTCAAGAAATGTCAGTAGAAACATAAGAATCTCTGATCTCCTGGCAATACGACGTTGACAATTGTTCTCGGTTTAAAAGGACTAGAGTCAGCGTTAACTCACTCTCCGAGGCGACTATTTCTTTCAGATTCTCCAACAGAACCGATCGAACATCGATTCCTTTGTGATCCTTGATATCTTGAAGTTAAGTATACGAAGTTGCGTATTCGAAAGGAGATTTTGATCTTCCTAACGCGATCGAACGATCTCGATTTAACGTATAAGAAGGTTGTAAATTATTTGTGTTTTTCACAAAGCTTATTACTCCTACAATTGAACAAAGTGTTGCCAAAACTTCGCGTCAACAGCAAGTAGGCACGTTCACCGACGCCATTTGTAAATTACCAGATGATTGTGTATCGACGATCATCCAATAACGCCTTACTATATACGATATACATAACTATACTACTATCCGATAGTCCCGCGAGTTTCGCCATTTTACCAGCGTTCAAATAACCTTCGACGAAAGAACAGAGAGAAAAATGACGGAGAAAAGAATCTCCATCCCCTTCCCCGCCTCCCAAAAAAAGTGAAAAATATAATAAGTGGCAAGTAGCGCGACGGTACAGTTGTCCGGCGATTACTTAGTTTAAGGCTGCGCGCCCCTCTTCGACGATGCAATATAAAATTGAAAAAAAAAAAAAAGAAACGGCGAGAACGAGAAATGAAACGGTGAGGAATGAATCGAATGTTCGTTTCCAGTTGTGATCACGTGTATCGCGAGGGAGAAGCTAATGTACGTTCTAAGAAGAAAATTTGACGACAAAAAAAAACAGTAAGAGGTGAGAAAAAAGTACGTTTACAACGATGCTTCGTATGTATATTTCTTTGCAATCACAGATGTAAATAAATGCAACAGTTTCAAAACGGTCGGCTAACTCGCTCGGCCGAAGTCAACTTGATATTTTGTGGTTTCTTCTCCCCCAACTATCCTGAATCGATTGTATTTTTATGTTTCTTAACCAGGTTAGTACGAATGACTTTTACATTAACGTCACGTTGAATTCTTTCACGATAAAATTCCGGTGAAATGTACAACGAATCGGAAAAATGTTCGTTAAACTGACGCTTGAATGTAGAAAGCTAGCCAAGTATGAATCCTTTATCGAGAATAGTGACAGTCTATAATTAACGCTGTCGGGAAATTCGATATCGTACCATGGTACACTTTCCCCCGTTTAATAATATGGAGACAATACGATAATTAGACAAGCTCCTATTATGTTACACGAAAGATAGCTGCGGAAACTGTAACAGCGAAATGTTACACCATTGATATCCACGGAAACGTTCGAATCACTAGCCAGGAAATGTCGATAATGTTATTTGTAATCAGCACTCGCTGGCATTAACAGTCAACCATTTGAATGAGTAAGGTAGGATACATTATATTCATAGTTAACATATACATTACACGATTTACATATACATTCATTCCAACATCCTTTATTTATTCCTAATAATTAAAGAATAAACTCATATTTCATTGGTGATTGCAGAACTCTAAACGAAAGAGCTGACATGAGTAACTTAAAAAAGGTTAGATGTAGAGATGATGAGAAGGGGAAATTGATAAGGGAGGAGAGGGTAGAGAATGCGAGATTCGATAGACGATACAAGGAAATAGCAACATAAGGGGTGTCTGACTAGAAGTATTGAAGTAAGAAAAAAGATAGTGGCTCAATGAATTAAGGGAACAGCGATAATGAGTTGTGGATGTGAGGCAATGTCGAACAGGTGCTAGATTGAGACAAAAGGAGCAGAGTGCAGAAGGAGGAACGGATACCACAGAACACGCGGAGTATTAAGTACTGTGGTGATGTGAAAGAGAGGTATTGGGGACTGTGAGGGAGAAGGAAAGGTGTGAATAGATTAAGCTATGGAGGAAGAGAAAGAAGGAGCCAGAGAAGAACGAGAAACGGACAGTAGAGACAGGACAAAGGATGCAAGATAATAACAGGTGGAGAAATGAAGTAGAAGAGCACTAGGGAAGCAAGGAGGTAAACATGATATGTTTATCCAGCAGCAGCCAGCAGCAGCCAGCAGCAGCCAGCAGCAGCCAGCAGCAGCCAGCAGTAGCGAGCAGCAGCCAGCAGCAGCCAGCAGCAGCCAGCAGCAGCGAGCAGCAGCCAGCAGCAGCGAGCAGCAGCGAGCAGCAGCCTGCTGCTGGCTGCTGCTGCTGGCTGCTGCTGCTGGCTGCAGATCCCAAGATGTTATTTTGCTCCTTTTTGTTGGGTATGAAGATCCCGACACTCGGCCATCCTGCGCTGACATTCGCCCTCGAATGTCTTCTGCGCACGTCTTTTCTCTTCGTCTTTTTGGTAACACTCTCCCACTTTTCAACTTCTGGGAGACGTGCCCCTCTCTCTTCGTCTTTTTCGGGTAACATTCTCCCCACTATTCACTTTTTGGGAGACATGCCCCTCTCTCTTCGTCATCGTCATCGTCGTTGTCGCCTCGTGTGGTCGTAGATGCCGCCATCCCGGACGAGCCCCCAAATGTAGGAGCGTTGGAAAAATGAGAGGGCCCAAGCGGGATTCGAACTCACGACCCCCGGCGCCGAAAGCAGAGACTCTACCCACTACTCCACGGAACCCTCCTATTTTCCTTAATGTTATTTTGCTCCTTTTTGTTGGGTATGGAGTTCCCGATCCCACAGTATTTGTGCAAATTTAGCAATAATTGCTTTACATACTACTTAATAAACGATTGTACAATATATTTATAACAAGATTTCAATAAATTCACTATAAGTAAGCATAAATACTACTTAGAATTAAGATTTTACAATATACTTACAATAATATTTGTACAAAGAGGGAATAGGTACTACTTTATTGTTTTTTATTAAAATTATTATGAGGAAGTGTACAATTTATAATATTATATGCCTATATTTATCTGGTATGCTGAATTTCGGGCGCGGTGGGATGCGGTATATCTGTAGTCCATTAAATAAGAAGAAGAGAATTAGAACGTTTCAATTGTGGGCTTGGTTCCGACAGAAATGGAATGATATCCAAAGTTCCGCTTTCCTCGACGTTCGGTTTTCTAAAAAAGAGTTCTCTCAACAACGTCCCATCGGTGGATGTTTCTTCCAAATCATGTTTACTCTTGATTTTTACATTCTGTGTATGTCTGGACATGGAATCCTTACTGATTTCCTCTCTGAGACTTTTTTTATCTGAGCTGAAATTCAATTAAACACAATCAACAACAATGACAAAGATACATCAATAACTATACAATTATTTAATGTAATAAGTTTCTCTATACTCAGAAAAACACTCAAGAATTCGTTAAATTCTACTTGTTAAATGTTAAGAAATTGTTTCATGTTCTTTTAATGATTCAATTTCTGTTGAAGGCAACTTTACTTATCACTAACTTTACGTGAAACAGAACTATTTCCTACAATCTCTACCGTTATGTGTATACACCGAAGATTGCGTACTCTTGTGGTCTACATTTTCTGTTCTAATGTTCTCTCACCTTATTATCTCGATCTCCTCAGTTTGACAAGCCCGGTGAATCTTCGCCTCGAGTTCCCTTCCCCGTTTCCGTCTCTCTGCTTCAAGCAGCTCTTTTGTTCTTTGACATTTATCCCTTAGAACGTCGGATTCCGTTTCCCTCTGCTGCAGAGTCTCCTGGAGTCGCGACTTTTCTCGCAGGAGATCCCGCACCGTCTCGGTGAGCTCGAGAAATTGTTTTTCCTGCACGGTGATCTGTCGTGTTAGCAGTTCGAGCATTCGTGAAATTCGAGTCCTCAGCTCCGTGGACTCTGTCCGAGCTTCGTTCAACTGATTGGAACGGGGAAACGTGATATTACAAAGGTGAATACTGATCCGATTTACGTTACTCTGATTTCTCCAGGCCGATTTTAACGAACAGAATACGAGTAAAAAAAACATTCAGGGTGGCTCAAGAATAAGTACTATAAAAAATCGTTACCTATTGTTTGTATCCAAAAACGTTTTAATGAATTATATAGCATTGTAAGGGACTCATCCGAAGGATACAATTTAATTTTTTTTTATATCTTATTTTGTTTTTGGGCTATTAAATTAAAATGCTACATAATTCATTAGAACGTTTTTTGTTACAATCAATAGGTAACAAGTTATTTTCGATAGTATTTCTTATTGACTCACCCTGTATAATAATGTTTTCCGAATTGATACTGTCAATGTATTTGCATTAAGGATGACAATTATAAATGATTATCTTATATTACTATCCTTAAACTGGTGTACATCGATAATGGAAGTCTCAATAAACGATAACTCTTCTAATACAATCAACAGTGCTTTCCATTCTCACTAATTGCAATTTTCAATCCTGTATAGTGCAGTTAGAAAGTCAAAATTACTTGAAATTCCAGCTGTTTCTTGTCCGCTTCTCCACGATCCAACGATATCTGGTACTGTGTTCTCATCGCCTCTTTTTCGGACTCGCTGACAACCAGCTCCGATTTGGCGTCGTGCACCTCCTTCGTGCATCTGCGTGAAAACCAGAGTTACTTCAGGTTCACCATGGATTCACCCTCGAACTGGGAATACCCGTGGGGTAAATGACGAAAGTTGCGCGCAATTTCATACACCAAGCTTTCAGGGGAGGGGGGGAAAAGCGGCAACACGAGCTCAATTTATTTTCCTCTTGCCGCCGTTGCGAGCAAAAGTCACTGAGCGTGATTTTCTGTACCAGACAAAGTTACGTGACACTGGGCAACAGTTTATTATACGCAATTCGCGAAACGTGTCTCCATACGGTTACATCTTCGAATCCGTGAGATCCTCCTAGTGTCGTAGACTTTGCTTCCCATTGTTTCCGCCTCAAACAACGCTTAGAATTGCGAAGAAACCGTATGCGAGACGATTATACGTCCATTATCTTAATCGAAATCGAGGCAATCGCCTCCACCACTGCTGATAGGCAGAACGTCGAAGAACAATCTCGAATAGGTAATCCTTTTCCGTGAAATCGGCCAATGGGAATCGTTCCCGTTGGGGCTTAGCTTGCCAGCAGAAATTGCGGGGTCGAAAGTTTTAATAGCTGTTGCACAGAATACGCTAACTCGTTTCGTATAATAAATCCCCGGTTGAAACCGAGAACACCGAAACTAATCGAATGACTTAAACTGGGGAGCTTTGAATGAGCGAAGAAGTTGAAAGAACTTCAGGTTTTATTTTTGTGGGGAATCGAGGGGAAGGAGCCAGGTGAATGAAATTGTTCCCGTGGACGGTATTAATTACGACGTTTGCGGGGGAGAGGAGGACCTTACTTAATCAACTGCTTAACCAGCTGAGCGATCCTTCTCCTGTCCGCAGGACAGAGATCCTGAATATGAGGGAACGTGGCCGCGTTCTCGTCCGCCTCGGCCGACTCGCCACGGCATTTTGTGCACCGTTCCTCCTCGGCTTTTACTTCCTGGCTCTCTGTCGAGATCGTTTCTCTGCTCGAAGATTAAACAGTTACAAACATTTTATGCCGGAACCGAACTGACGGTGGCTCGTATAGAGCCCGTAGGGGATGTACGTTTAAGGGGAACTTTTAAAATGTATCGATTTTTATTCTTAATCTTGGTGGCTTTCGCGGCGAGTATTGAAATAATTAAGGGGAGTCGATTATCCGATTTGTGAATATGGAGATTAAGAGGTTAATTATAGGGATAATTAAAGGAAATTATAGGGATCTTTGCGAAATTTTTTGTGGGAATATAACGGAGTGAACTGGAAATTAGCTTTAAATAATTCGTTACCTAATGGTTGTATCAGAAAACGTTTTAATGAATTATATAGCATTTTAAGGGATGCATCGAATGGATGCAATTTGATTTTGTATATGTGTTATTTTTTTAAGTTGTCAAGGTGAGCTTGAGTTTTTTTCAAGATCAATGCATTATTTTTTAATACCATATTTGGTACCATAATATCATACTTGATACTATAGCATGATGGTATGAAAACAAAGATGCATTGACCCAGAAAAACCTCGAGGCCATCTTAATATCACAGAAAAATAAGATACAATGAAATCAAATTGTATGCATCATTAAAATGCTATTATCTAGAAAACAAGTTTCGAATAACGAATGAAACATAAAAAAAAGTATTTCATTTTTAATTGTTTAAACGTGGAAATTTCGATTTGTATAATAAAATAATACTTCTTCACGAATAAATCGACATTTGTCGAACAATTATTTAATCTCATTAACCGTTTAAAGCTCAGAACAACGCCCTTAGATACTGCTGCTTGTCGCTGTGTATTAAACAAATAAAATTCTGCCCAACTCTGGTCACAATCCTATCTTCAGAGGATCCTTATACACTTCGATCTAAAATTTTTTTAAATATCGCTTGATAGAAAAAAACTTAACCTAGCTACCGGCTGAAATTAGTCGAATTCCACCACGGACCTTCATCGTTCCGATGCATCTGCTCGTTCTCCCGGTAGATTCGCAGGGTATCCTGATGGAGTTTCGCCAGTCTGCACAGAAAATGATTCGAGGACGATGTTTTTCTTCCCCGTCAACACGAAAAGTCACAGGCAGCGGGGAGGAGGGTAAATGATACGGAAAGAGGGGGAGAACAAAAGGAAAGAGGAATATAAAGTGAAAGTGACATCTACCTTTTGCTCCATCTAATATAGGAATTCATAAGCGCGCCGTTGTCGTAGTCGTTTGAATACATGCCTCTGCAGACATCTCCGGCGGTGGCGGTCGGTCCCCAGACGATCGTAGAACCGGAAAGTGGTTACGATGCAGAAGGTCAAAAGTCGTGGAGAACTCTAGGCTCGATCGTCCACACGTTGACGAGAGACGCCCTGCATACACACAACCGAGAAAATCCCTGGACGGAGAACGCGATTCTCGGCTGTCCGGGGAACACTGCGCGTGTTGGCTTCACAAACTGTTATTATATACTAGACTGATAACTAGACAGCGGATGTTTATGCATTTATAGCGTCCCCTGATTTGCAAAACGTAGCAAAATAAACATTCCAATAAAATTTAATGTTATATATGCATTAATATTAACATATAAAAACCCCTAATATAAAAAAGAAATTAAAAGATAACTTCCTCATATAAAAAATCGTATACTTGACACAGACTTCTATATACTAGACTGCTAGCTTATATAAAATATCCTCAAAAATTAAATACTAAAGAATCCACAGAAAAATATATACAGAAATATATTTAAATTAATTGTTATTAGTACATACTTTAGTACATTCTGTTATGAGGACATTTTATACAGAATGAAGCTATGAAGAAATGGTTTAACTACTAATAAAAATTGTAGAAAACCTTGTATTGTCAGGAAAAGAAGAAATGATGAGATAATTCAATGTTCCCATACGGTACGATAGGTCCCGAAGCAAGGAAGTCGGTCTTGAGCGAAACAAAAAAATTGTATAACTTAGAAAATATTAATTTCTCGACCCACGAGTATTAATACTTTGTGTAATCATTCGGAAGGTACTATCTATCCCAAAAATTACGAACCTTTTTTTCCTTTCACCCAGTATAAGCAAAATTTGGGGAGTCAGCAGTCTAGTATATAATATAAAAGTCTGTGGTTGGCTCCTGGAACCTTGCGTCGTGAAGTTGGATTTATATCGCGGTTTAAAATGACATTTGTGGTCTCCCGCCGATCGAAACGTTACAATCGAGACGCTACGGGGCGTTTCTCGATCGACTGGGAATCAGCCCCGGCCGATATTAAATTCTCGATCGAACGATACTACCCAGGGGGTCGAGATTATAATGAACGCAAACGGTGATGGACGAACAGCGTCACGTGGCGTGAATAAAATCGAGTTCAAAATCGAATTACCAAGTGGAAAGTTCAATACTAGGAGACGTTTCGTCGATTCTTCACGGAGTTGCAACGGGACCATCGGTATAATCGAATGATGCGAGGAAATTTACGAATACAGATGCAGCAGTAGTACAGCAATTGAGATCTAGTCGGGGTATTTCGAACTTTATTCAGAAAATCGGCGTGCTACGAATGCGTACGTATGCATGAGCCAGACTTCACTGCGGAAGATTGCAACTACCATCGGCAATTTACAATATTGCTTCCGTTTTCGTCGTCCATTAAGGGTCTATGCTAGTGTGACGGCTATATAACAAGGCAATTTTTGGGAATTTTTTAAAGAATAACTATTGGACTTATCGATTTGAATAATATATATTTAATTAATGACACATCTGATGAACAGGTATGCCAAGTTTGAACTAAATCGGTCAATTAGTTTTTAAGTTATCATGGCCGAAAGTTTCAAGTACTGTTTTAGAGCATAAAAAGAGAAATGTTTCATACTTGCAGCTAATCACCTATTCTGGGCCATGTAAACCACCTTCCTCTTCCTCAAAAAATTATTGCAAATTGCAAAAAAGGAAAATCCGATTTTCTGAAATCGTCACACTAGCATAGCCCCTTAAACGCTCGTGTGGAAACATTCTCTCGGATTCCATCGTTCGCGGATGAGACTACAAACCGACAGCTTTGCGATGATTAACACCATTTGTCTCTGAAGATTTTCATGAAAGAGAATTTGTATCTCCAACACTTGTCACATCGACGTGGACGCGTCGTTTCACGAAAAGGACCAGAAAAAACACAATACCGTGGGTCACTGAGTGTTCGATCACGGCTGAATAATTCAGTCCTTCGGGCTGGAACGGTTAATTTACTGTTCCGTCGCGGAATTTCGATGACTTCTGAGAGCTTCCTCGACGCCGTTCGGGCAAGCTGTCAAACTGATGGTCGTCTCCTGTTCCTTGATCGGGATGCTGGTCCTAACGTCGTTACCCAGAATGGACATGTGCATGACGCTTCGTTGACCACGTCGAGAGTCGCCCATGTACCGTCTGGAGCTGACCATCGAGAAACTTTGCCCTCGACCGCGGGAGCTCAGATCGGATGACCCACGATTTCGTCGGTGAATCCTCCTTGGGATGCAACAGAGCAGATACCTGCGTGGAGAAAAATCATAGACTTCTCTCGATTATCGTCCCTAACTTGAGTCCGCGCTGGGACAATAATCGTGTAGGGAGAAATGCTTCAGACCCTTGTAAATTCATTTTTGCCCGAAGCTTGAGCCTTGGAAGAAAAGGAGGGGTAACAAAGTATGCACTTGACAAGATCCAGCCCAGTGGTGGGAATAATACCTGGGACAATAATCGTGTAGAACCAGCCAGACAATAATCGAGAGGAGTCTGTAAAAAGGGCTATGATACAGCGGACAGCTTTTAAGACTGCGGATTTTATGCATTTATCGAGTATCTGATTGTCTAAAATTCAGTATACAGTTATTCCTCGATGAGTGTCCGAGGGTTTCTCAGCACTGAACTTTACAAATGGCTTGAAAAAATGTTATTTTGCATGAAGTTCCACTGTCTAGTTATAACGAATGCAAGCTTTCATTGCCATGGTACAGATACAACTGACAATACGAATCTGTTAATAACATTGTCGAGAAAAGTATTAGAGCTTATAGTTTGGGAATTTATATACAATATTTCAATGCAAACGCTACCACAAATGAGGTTTTAGAACCAATTAGTTCGTTCTAACATACCCCACTGTATTTTGAAGACTATACCATGTTGGTACCTGTAACATTCATAATGTGTACTTTGTGGCGTAATAAAATGCAACGTGAAAACGATCGAGTTTGTTACTAATGAGCAGAATTAGCTCGGAACCTGTTCACAAACCACTGTCCCAGTTTCTGTATTTAACGTTTGAATCCCAGACAATAGACCCATAAGTTAAAAGACACTCTGTATTTAACCCTTGCAGTACCTTATAAGTTTTGTACCGTCCAAAAATACCTTGAAGAATATGCGATTTTTTAGGTCTCTATTGAAATTAACATATTTCTTTTAAAAATAAAGATATATTTACTTAAAAAAAAATTGTGTTATTCCTATGCAGTGAACGTATGTACCACTGCATAAACTAATTTTAAAAAAAATCAAGTGTGATTAAATATGTTTAAATTATATTAAAAATAGAAAGCCAATATATCAGCGGAAAATATTTTTCGGAAAACTCACAAAGCCGGTGTATCGGCTTTAAGGCACTAAAGGGGTTAATGATCTACTTATGACTAGTTACTGCCAAATATCCAATCAATGGTTCCGAAACCAGTTTTTTAGTTTCGAAGTGGGATCAAGGTCGAAGGTAGAATATGTATTGTAAATTGATTCCAGCCCTGTTACATCACGGAGTGATAAATACGGCGCCAGTTAATCGACAATTTTCGTTTTTTTATCGTTCTTGCTCGAATTCGTGGAAATAGGTCAGATCACCGGTTGTCTGCCAGGTGTCAAATAGCTGCCAAGTTTTGTCAGATACACACAATGTTTCACTTTAAAACTGCGTCAAATTCTCCCACCGATTAATATTTCACCTTTGGTAACAAGGATCGGTAGTTTCACTCATGTGAATTAGATCTCCACAAATAAATAGAAGAAGAAAAAAATTAAGAAGAATAGGACTGATTAATATCGATGATACAGACTTTAAAATAAAAAATAACCAAACTCATAATTTTCAAATAACGATTCAAGTGCCTGGGCCTTAAAGGGTTAATAACAGTGAAAAATAAGAAGTAATTTTTCGTTTAATCACCTGTCAAAGTACTTTCTGAACGTCCCGCTGACGCAATACAGCGCGATCGGATTGATGCAGCTGTTGATGAACGCCAGACAAAAGCCTAGGATCCGGAAACAATGCCAGAACGCGTTGTAATCCTTCTGGGCGGTCGGATGTATGTAGAACCAAAGCATGAAAACGTGTTGCGGAAAGAAGCATACGGCGAACACTATCACGAACGCCATAACCATCTTGGCCACTTTTTTACGGGCCTTCACTTGCTTCACCTGAAACTCAGAAAGCAAAAAAGAACGCCGGTCGAAGTTACGTAAAAGACGAGAAGTTCGTCAAAAGAAAACAGTGTTCCTCCTCGTCCTTACTTCGTAAGGTCTCTTTCGGTCGAGTTATAATTCTTTCTGCGTGAGTTGGGAGACCGAAACTTCGACTTCTCTCTACCCCGAACTTTCCAAGGAACGTCTGCTCCGAATAGCCCGTATTCTTTTCTAATAAATCACGAGCAACCCCTCTTCAACAGGTACAGGGGGTGGTCCACTTACGAAACTCGAGAGCAACGCTAAGAATCGATAAGCTTGTTTCTCAAGAGCGAGTGGATGCTTTCCCTTAAAGTGTTGATACTTCCTTCGATCGAGTTTAATGGGATTACGCGCGACAGTTGGAGAAAGTGAGAAACTCACGAGAGATATTCTGCTTTTAAGCTCTGTACAACGAAGATTCCTCGAGTGGGGGGAAACTATGTTCGTTGCCTTTTTCCTTCCACTCACCTGACCTTGCATCTCCCCTGGAATGTTCCTCGTACTGTGCATCAGGTGTCTCGCCATCAGGATGTAGAAAACGGCGATGATGCTCAGTGGGATCACGTAGTATATGAAGAAACGACAGACTAGGATCGTTGACGGATAATTCGGGCCGAATTCTTTCGGGAAAGGGTAACAGACCTTGAAGAACAGCGATTCATTTGTGAAATCTGTCTATTTTTAACCCTTTCATTCCCAACTAATTTAACGATTACGAAGAAACAAGGGACAATCGTGCCTTATTTTATCGATAAACTTCTAAATCTGGACCAGACTATATTAAGTCACACTTGTTGAACTTTAGAGGAGAGCAAATCAAAGGTGTGAAAATCTTGTAACTTTGGAAACGTTCTGTAAGAATTGAAACTATTAAAAGGATTTTAGATAAGTCTCTATATGTGGAAATGGTGAAATTTGCATTAATTCCCCTATGTGATGAACTTTACATTTACACTGTTTTAGGAATATGAACTTAATACCATTTGTAGACCACATTATGTACTCATATTAAAATCTAGTAAGAATAAAAAGAGTAAACTATTTGTTACAAGAAACATGTGGAATGTCATATTTTAAAACAGTGGACTTAATACACTCTGGACAGAAGACTACAAAAAAATGTAATACACTCAGAGATATGAAAAAATACAGGATACTAATATTTCATTTCGTAATTTATAATATCTAGCTACAGTGGGAACAAAAGGGTTAACGCAGATAATTGGTAGATCACGAGACAATGTCGATATCTATAAGATTATGAAAACTCGGGTAATAAAACGATTCTCATAGAGATATTGCAGTTGAACTCACGTGAAAGCTCACGTTCTTGTTCACACGGAAGTCTTTGATATAGGAAAAGGAGGCTGGAATTGCGCACATAATGGCCAGCAGCCAAATCATTGCGGCGACGATCATTGTAAACCGTGTGGCTCTTCTTCCTGTACCTTCGACGATAAAAAAGAAAAAAGGTAATCGAGACTCCAGACGGTTACAGTGCTGCTTCGTATTTCCTTTTTACGGAAATGTTTGGAGTGGTTTCGAAGGGAATTACCATATTCAAAGCTTTTCGCGCTTGGATAAAGCGAAGCTTTGAGTCATCAATACATGACTCTCGATTGGAATGGCCAATTTGTGGACAAGTTTTTCAGATTCCATTGAGTTTTAGTGTAATTCCAATGAATCTATACTTCAGAAATCTATATTGTACTTTCGAATGTCGCCCAAAGATTAACCCTTTACCCGAACGCTCATCCGACTTCTCGTTAATATCAGCATGTATACAACTAACATAAATCTTCGGAATGTATTTATTAAATGTTTATTACACTCTCAGATAAAAAAAAGTTGTAAAAAGCGACCTTCACTATTTTCTTTACGATTCCAATCAATTGCAGTTTTTTCGAAATTTATTTAACATATCAAGTCTCTTGGTCCAATGTTAAAAAAGCTTTTTGAAAAAGATTTTTGCCTATAGTGACTCGCAATTTTGTTCACGGAACGTCTTCTATTTGATCAAATGTATTTACGAAAATGGGAATTCTATTTGAAAATTAAGAACAATTTATCAGAAAATGATGATAAATGTAATGATAAGGAGAATATGTAAACGGAGTTCCGTAAAAGTTTTTACACCTAATTGTTATTGCAGAAGTATGTGAAGAAATGTGTGACTCACTGTATGGTTCACGCTCGTTATCTGGCTGATTGTTACCAAGAATTTGGGGTGTGTAATTTTTAGAAAGTGACGTGAAGGGTCGTAACCTGTACCCGTCGTGTGGAGTTTCCTCATTGGATCGACGATGGCGAAGAAACGGTCCGCTGAGAGGGCCGTCAACGTGAACACGGAGACTCCAACGGATATATCCTTGACGGACTCGGAGACCTTGCAGAGCACCAGCCCGAAAGGCCACGAGTCCAGAATGTAGACGGTGAAGGTGAACGGAACCGATGTCATTATCACCTGCAGCGTAACGTTCGACAGAAGTCTCAGAGAAACGATCGCGTGGGTTGGCCGTGGTAATTTTAGATCATTCCGAATATATATTCGCGAAGCAGTAAAGTCGTCAGAGGCCACGAAAAATCGATAACTATTCGATTCACGAACGTCTACAACAGAATTCTCTAAGGGAGCGTAATCGACAGGTGATTTCTGGGCTGCGGATTTTTATGTATTTATAATGTTTCTTGACTTGGAAAATACGATGAAAGATAGGTTTTCGTAATGTTGAATTATTTTCATATCTTTATCCGTACCTGAATCCGTACCTTAGAAATCTAGAGGAATCTAAGATTAGAAATCTTGATTTCATTTTAATCGGAAGAATTTAGATGTACATAAAATTTACTGATATTTCAAAAACTGTTCACTTTAGTTTTTAGATACAAATATCAGTAATCGTGAATTCGCGTAAACTTCCGCAATCTAGTAATACCTTTCCTGTTCCTGTAACTATGAACAAAATGTACTCTCCTCCCTTTTATCTCTTCAACAAGATCTTCAATATACCTCCGTTTCGAATAAAAGGACAGCTTCCAAAAACATACTATCCAGACAAATATTCAAGAAGCCTTTTCAAAAAAGCTCCACGGATCCTATCGAGAGTTTAAAAAAATGGCTCCATATTCGTTCGACCCGTACAGGATCGTCATAAAATCGACGATAAAACAGCCCAGGAAAAAAGAATTTAATAGAATCCCGAGAGACAATGGATCATTCACGTGTAGTAGTAATAACAATGAATACGTGCCAGCAGGTCTCCGAGCGCCAGCGAAAAGACATAAATATTCGGAACGTTCCTCATGTTACTGTGCCGCAGTATAGTTAACGCCAGTACACCGTTTCCGGTCAGCCCGATCAGTAGTATCAGCAGAAACACGATCGGCACTATGTACGTTTCCGGTCGATCCTCGTACGGGGTGTACTCGAGTTCCTCCTGTTGTTCGTCGTTCTTCGGCAACGTTTCATCGATCATCCCGTAAACGGAACCGACGCTGGTGTAATGCGTGGTGATCGGTATACCCGACGTGGCGCGTAGTATCGACGACGACGTGGTAGTCGCCCATGATACCGTGAACGTAGGCGAAACGGTGGTGCGTGACTTGAACATTTTCTTGTGTTCTTTTTAGACCTCTGACCCACCTCCCCTTTGTCGATCCAAGGATACAAAAAGGAAAGGAAAAAAAGAAAAAGTTCCTGCCGTTTTCACATCTTGATCGTTGTCTCCCAGCAGTTAATCCAAGGGAGTTCGGTTCTTCAGGGTGGAACTTTCGTCGCTGTGAATTAGAAAAGTAGCCGAGTTAGCGGGTGAAGGCGATGGTGTCGGGCAAATGGGATGGAATGGTAGTAAATGGGGAAATAATTCGTGAAGGTTCGTTCAACGGAAAACGATTCCACAACCGAGCCATGGGGATATTTGTAACGCCCCTTCTAACCCAAGGTATACCCCGACTGATCGTTGCTATTTGCCAGGATTGTTATAGGGTTCTTCTATTTTCTTTCTGTGACCTCTTAGATAGGTATACCCCGACTGATCGTTGCTATTTGCCAGGATTGTTATAGGGTTCTTCTATTTTCTTTCCGTGACCTCTTCGAGGTATCGGTGGCGTGAGAACACGCGTTAGGTTCTACTGGATTAACATTTGACTGTGACAAGTTTCACTATTACCAGATTAAAATTTTCAGTCCATATATATTGTGAGTAAAATAAAAACGAACCATATGTTTTCCAAGGAATACAGTAAACCACCCATGAGTGTTCGGAGATTCTTCAGCACTGAATATTGCGACGTTATTGACATCATTAGTGGAATTACTCGTGCAACAAGTCAAGCTCCCAGTAATGATGACATCAGAACTGTACCTTCAAACACTAATCGAGTATTTACTGTATTCGCCCGTAAGAGTTAATATTCCATCAGAATCATATCTTAAGAACGAACTCCAGAAGAAACGCTCGATAAATGAATCGATACGATCCGAGAATAGTCATGATAGTATAGAGAAAGTCGAGAAGACTGAAAGCAGATTCCCCTGTGAAACGACTAAGGGGGTGCGTCTCCTTGGATAATTGACAGGGACCGCGGAGGGACGATTCTTTGGGCGGGTTTCGCCCCGAGCCGACTTAATGAGACTTCCGTTTTGCCTGGCGGTTGTGTATCGAGCGAAACCGTCATCAATAAGTTTCGCCACACACATACACACAAAAAAGACGAGCGAGAGTGCCGCCGTTTTCCCGCCGTAAAAAATACCAAGGGGCTAGCGCGGAGTAACTACGTGACCTCGTTAGCCAAGCCTCGAGGATTTTTATCGTATTTCTTTTTCAATCGTGGCTGCCCCGCGATACACCACCTGGCCTGCGAAACACTCTGCCTAGAACGCTTGTAATTTCAGGGAGACGAACACGGGTTGAAGTTTGAAGCACGCGCGTATTCGCAGTGGATCTAACAAGGAAATGCACGGAAGTATGCCCCTCCGATTTTCATGAAACTTCGTATGTCTGTTAAGCGGTCAAAAATACGGGATACGTATTTTTTTTCATCGCTTGAGACGCGACTTTAAGGGGTGAAACCACCCCTGGAAGTTTCGACCCGAAAGTACTATCTCGAAAATAAGAGGAGGTACATGGAAATTTTTAATGAACGAGGTTTGCGGCTTTTTATGTAGGATAATATCGTGCTAATAAATTGTCCAAAATATAATTTGTTTATAACAAAAGAATTTCGGATCGAAACTTCGAGGTGTAGTTTCAACCCTTAAAGTCGTGCCACAATCGATGAAAAAAAATACGTATACCTTATTTTTGACTGCTTAACAGACATACGAAGTTTCATTAAAATCGGAGGGGCACACTTCCGTACCTTCC